ACTTTGGTTGATGCCGAACGCGTAGGGTTGCGTTCCTGAGGGTGTGTCTGCTGATGGGCATGGGGCTGACGTTGGCGTGTGTGGAGGGGTTGTGTCCGGCACGGCTCACACGGATCTGCAGTTCTAAAGTTGTGTGGCTGAAGAACCTTGAGAGTCTGTGTGGGACTGGGGTGTCCATAAAAGATTATGTAGGTGTCAACTGCACACAAGATGTGAAGCTGTATTGAAGTGTGTGTGCGCGTGTGTATGTGTGTGTTAAACTAATTTCCACCTGCTTTCCCTCCTGCCCCTGCCCCAGGTAGCACAGCATTGATATGTGATGTTTCATAGAGAAAGACTCTTTCTCTAGTCCACTACTGTTTATGTAAGAAAAAACCTGGGGGCGGCTTAGTTATAGGCCCGAGAACAGAGGGAGGAAAGAAAGAAACAGGCCGTTTACACTCTGCGTTAGGGCTGGACAGACACTCGGTGGTAAAGAGGACTTTCAGCTCTTTCGGAGGATCCTGGTTTGATTACCAGTGTCAGGGGTTCTAACATCCTCCTCTGGCCTCCACAAGCACCAGGCATGTTACATGCAGGTCAAACACTCACACACACAAGATAAAAATAAACTCATCCTTACACACACACTTGCATGGCTTCATGCTGCATCAACAAAGAAAAAGAAAACATGAAAAATACAAAGAAAAATTTCTTTTCTGCATATTCCCTTCCTGATGGCTGAAGTTAACCCCCAAGGCCACTTCACATCTCATTCTGCTTTGGTTAAGAAGTACCAGTAACACACGCTCTCTCTCTCCCTCTCTCTGTGTCAGAAGACAAGTGTTCCCGGGTAGCCTAGGCTGTCCAGAAACTTGCCATTCAGCTGTTGTTTCTTACGTGCTGGGACTACAGGCATTGGCCACCAGGCTTGGCTCATAAAGATCTGTTTTGGGATGAACTTTCTGTCCCAGGACAATGTCTGCTTTACTGGTGCCATTGCACACCAAGAGCCAATGTATGGTCACCGCAAGAAGCTTACATCCCCTCTCCGACGGGGTCTATTTGAATACACTATGGCCCCTTTAATCTTTTCTGATCTTTCCCCTCTTTGCTTTCTGGCTATGCTGATGATGGACCTTAACTTTGGGGATCAGCTGTAGAGTGAGACAGCCCTTCACTTTCAAAGGCCTTTGAGTGTTTAAAGTTTACCACTTTTTTGAGCTTTAGGAGTCAGAAGGACCTTCCTGTCTTCCCTGCATCTCCTAAAGGTGGCTGGTGTGGAGTGAGACCCGTTCTTGAGCCCTTTACCTTGCAGAGGTTAGGAATCCTGGAAAGGCGATTTTCAGAACAGGTCGCTTAGAAGACAGACACAGAGAGAGGACCTAGAAGCAGGAGAAACCAGAACGACTGACTCCCTCAACGAGAAATGCCTGGGAGCTCCAGGGCCGAAGAGCTTCAGGAAGGCCCACGTGAACGATGCTTTCACATGATGTATTTTAAAATGTTGTTTAAAAACATCTGCTCTGTTTTTTTAGAAGCATACAAAAATTAGTTTTCATTAAAGCATTTCCCCATATGATTAATGTTAATTTTGTAAGCGAGGCACACAAAGTCAAATCCTGTGTGACCTCATTCATGTGCAAGCTACAAATCTTGACCTTGAACAAATAAGAGTAGAACAGTGATTATGACAGGGGAGACAGGAAAAAGGGAGGGTGAAGATAATGTTCAACAGTTTATTCTTTTATAAAGGTTAGAAGACAGGCATTCGAATGCTCCCAGCACTGAGTGCCAAGTGTTTGAAGGAAGCGCCAAGGAACTTGATCTGGCATCCCGCATTGCCTTCATGTTTTGGAAGATTTCACTGTGTCCTGTGAGGAGCAGCAATTATCAAGCGCCCACTGAGATAAAAAGGAAGAATTTACATAGTGACAGATCTCAGCTGTGTGAGTTTACAGTGATCTAGGCAGGCACAGTGAAGGTGTGGAAGAGAGCCTGACTTTGGAGCTCAATCCTGTATCTGTTGGATTTCGACTTATTTGTTTTAAACATTTTTTAAAAATTGTTAATTACTATCTGCTGGGTGTCTTTTTTTTTCCAATGTTGGGATGGGACACAGGGCCTCATATACACTTGTTGAATGCTAAATCCCAGAGTCAGGCCCTTACTAGGCTACAATCAGCCTTTTTTATAATGATAGCATCTATTCAGTGTGTGTGTGTACCCTTGTGCATGCACAGGGCGGTCAGGAGCATCTTATGGGAGTTAGTTCTCTTCTTTCATCATGTGGATCCTGGACTGAACTCAGGTCATCAAGCTTGGCAGCAGTCCTCTTTACCCACAAGCCATCTGGTCCTCTCCACCCCCAGTTTTGTAAAGTCAGAGCTACTTTTGTAGATAGCTTAAGTTTTGTGATCTCTATTTCAGCAACTCACCTTTGCCACTCTAGCCGAAAGCACGTGCAGAAACACACAGTGAATGACCACAGCTGGGTGCCAACACCACAACTGAAAATGGCAACCACACAGATATAGAGCCAGATTTGCCTCAGAGACTATCAAGTGTCAACTCCCACTCTCTCTGGTTGTTTTTGGTCTCCTGAGGAATTTGTTCCAGGCACACCCTTCATCCTGGCTAGACTTCAAAATCCTTACATGTGCAAGTCTTTTTCCATGAAGAGGCATGATGTCGCACAGAAGCCATTCCTGTCTTCTTACCGTTAGCCCTTTTCTACATTACTTTTAGTGCTCAGCACAGAGCCTACCAGATGGTTCCGTGGGTAAAGATGCTTGCTACAAAGCCTAAAGTCCTAAACTCAATCCCTGGGACCTACCTGGTAGAGGGAGAGAATGGACTCCCCGGAGTTGATCTCTGACCTGCACAGGTATACCTGTGTGCTCGAGGATGGACATACACACAGACAGAGACAGAGAGACAGAGGGAGAGGGAATAACTAATAAGCCCGCCTAGCACAACTTCAATCCTGTGCATACAGTTGCTATGCTCTCTCATTTAGGGAACGGTAAAAGGAAAAGTCTGTTCACGCCCAGTACAGATGCAAATTAAATAACTTTATCAATTATTTTGGTGCTGGGAATTAAACCTAAGTCATTGCAATGCTAATCTCATACTACCATTGATTTAAAAAAAAGTTTTATTTTGAGTCTGGAGAGATGGTTCAGCAGTTACAAGTGCTTTTTACTCCCACAGCGGACCCAGATTCTGTTCCCAGCACCCACATGGCTAGTTAGAACTCCCTGTGGCTCTTGTTCCAGGAAGTCCAATGCCCTTTTCTGGACCCCGTGGCCACGGTACATACACGTGCACTCAAACACTCATACAATAAAAATAAACGGTTTCTTATCTTTTTAATCATGCGTCTTTAGGTGTGGGTATGTGCACACGAGTTCAGGTTCCTTTAGAGGCAGAAGAGGAGATGGACCCTCTGGCCCTGAGCCACCTGTTCTGGGTCCTTCCAAAGAGCAGCAGGCACTGTCAACCTCTGGGCCCTCTCTCCAGCCTTACCACTGAGGTAGGAAAATTCTTTGGTAATGTCATATACAAACACACATATATTTAGGTCATATCTACCCCTTCTTTCTTTTCTTCTTCAAGTCTTCCTGAACGCCCCTCACGTTCTCCTCCTAACTTCAGGTTGCTGCCTCCTCCCCTTCTTTTTCTTCTTCCTTTAAATAATTTACTGAGTCCATTTAGTGGCTTTCCTACGCCCAGGAGTATAAGACACCACCTACTGGAGCACAGGTAACCTGCCGCAGGCCACAAGCACTGAAGAAAATGGCCTACCTTCCCCAGTCCATTAACTGCCAATAGCTCTTTCAGGTATATGTGAGTTGGTTGATTGACTGATGATTGACTCTCTATGCCGCCCAGGCTGGCCTCGAACTCCTGCTTCTCCTGTTTCAGCCTCCTGAGTGCTGAGAAGGTAACCTTTACTTCCTGAGCATTTTCCATCCAGTGTTGTTCTATCTGAGGATGTTCATTGGTGGATACGCAGAACTGGCTGTCTGCGCTGTACAGCACGGCTTGCTGGGCAGAGAAAGGAAAGAGACAAGTGTCCAGGCCCCTACCTGCTATGGACCCAGTTGAATGCTCTTGGGATTCATGGGTGACTTCGAGTTATCACTTGGTAAGTGGGAGCGTGGTGTCCCAGAGGAGAGGAGAGATCGCCTGTTTCCTGTATAGCTTGCGGTCCTGGATCTGTGAGTGTTCAGAGCAAGGTGAGGAGCAACACTGAGGCTTCGGAGGACCAGTCCATTGGGAGCAAAATCCTGACGGAGAACCAGGGCTTTGATTTGCAGGACATATGGTGTGGAAAGCCTCGTCCCATGGCCTGTCTTATGGTGAAGTGGGTGGGTAACTTAGACAGATATGGAGGGCAACCATGTCTGAACAGTGGCAGCAAAACGATGACAAAACAGGGCAAGGTTGCACGTGGTGATGCCTGCCTAGAGCCCAGCTACTTGGGGAGCTGAGCTGATCAGGCAAATACCCTACCACTGAGCGATACAGTCTAGCCCTCTTTAAACATGAATTCTCTTTTCCTTTTAGGCCACTCGTGTGTGTGTGTGTGTGTGTGTGTGTGTATGTGTGTGTGTGTGTGTGTGTGTGTGTGTGTGTACGTGTGAGTGTAAGACGAGGCCAGGAGCGGGCACTGATCTTCTGGAACTGGAGTTATAGCAGTTTTGAGCTACCTGATTGGGTACAGGAGTAATACGCACCCTTCACCACTGAGCCGTCTTCCAGTCTCTGCCTACTAGCTCCCAACTTTAGCTTTTGAGAAAGGGTCCCACTAAATTGCAGGTGCTGGCCTGGCGTTGAACTTGTAGCCGCCTGTCTCATCCTCTGGAGTAGCTGTAATTACAGTATGGCCCCAGGCTGGGTTGAAAGACACAGTTTCTAAGCTGTTTTGTAACTTCCAAGTGTTTGGTTGTTAAACTGATTGGCAGGTTTTATATTTACGTGCATTTTTTTCTTACTTACGGAAACACAACATCCCACTTTGGATACCTTAAAAAAAAAGTAAATCAATAATGTTAAATAGATACGGGCTAATGTAAAAGAAGAACGCAAAGTCTGAGGTTTTACTGGAGAAGAGGTTCGTGAAAGAGCTGGGACCAGTACTGTCACCGGTCCTTTCCCAAGCGATCCTTCTCGCACCCCATCTCTCTCCTGGTCATGCACACAAAGTACCCACATTAGTTGGGGGCCCACTGTTTGCCGGGCATTTGCTGATTTTGTCCTTTTGAAAAATCAACTATGGCTGTCTTCAGGCCGGACACCCAACGGTTGCGGTTTGTGGGACAAGCCTACGGCCCCTTCGAAGGGTTCTTCATGCAGAAGGCATTCAGCAAAGATCTGGCACTTCGGTTTGAGCTCTGCAGCAGCCCTCTGTGGCTTGAGATGATTTTAGTGAAACGAGGGGGGCGGCTGGCGGCAGAAAACCTTAAAAAGGTGTGCAGTATTTGGTGTTTTTTTTTTTTTTTTTTTTTTTCTACCCTGTCTCTAACCACCCTCTCTGGTGTATGCTGCTAAAGCATGAAAACTGACTCCGATCGGGGCAGGGTCTCAAGCATCCTGGCAAGGTAACAAACCTGCAGAGCAGCATCGTCCCTCCCCTGACTTCGGAGCTGCAGTACCTCCCTTCACCCTAACCGAGCCTTCTCCGGACTCCTCCCTCACCAGACCTGGTCTCTTCTGTCCCCCGCAGGGACGTGATGAGCAGCCACGGCAACAGCCTGTTCCTGAGGGAGAGCGGCCAGCGCCTGGGCGGCGTGGGCTGTCTGCAGGGCCTGCAGGACAGCCTGCAGCAGAGAGCACTGCGCACGCGCCTGCGCCTGCAGACCATGACCCGAGAGCACGTGGGGCGCTTCTTGCGTCGGAACGCCTTCATCTTGCTCACAGTCAGCGCTGTGATCATTGGTGAGGTCTGCTTCTGGAGGGCGGGACTTCTGTGGACTGCTCACCTCCTCTCCCTGGTGCACTCATCTCGCAAGCCTCTCCCCCAGGCCTTCTGAGAGCACGGGGAGAGAGGGCGCACGCATGTGCGAACACAGCTGTACGAACGTGATGTGGGCATGCACAGACAGGAGTACACTGCGCAGGCCACGCGCTTTATGGCTGCACACAGAGAAGGATGCACAGAATTTAGCGGTGCATAAATATGCAGCTATCCCCCATACCCTTGGGAGACTGGTTCCAGCAAACACGACCCCATTTTATTTAAGGCACTTGACTGTCCACTGATTTGGGTATCTGAGGATTTGATTATTCACAAGCTTTTGTTATCTGTGGATGCTCAACTCCCTTAAATGAAACAGGGTAATGTTTGATGGGCTCTGTGGCTCTCTTGCTCTCTGGGTTACCTCTAACACCCAGAGCAATGTAACTGCAAGGTCAATAGCTGTCATCACATTTCCTAAGGGTACAGACAAGAGAAAAAAATGACTCTGCTGTTCAACAGACACAACTTAAACATTATATGTATGCTGAATAAATTAATGGGTTTCGTCGTGACGTCTTCATAGCGACATAAAATGTGCGTTGATCATACACTTTTTCCTTCTCCCCTCTCCCCTAACCACCTCTTGTTGGTACCTTTCCTTTCCTCAAATAGTCCCTTTCTACTTTCATCAAATACATTCTCCCTCTAAAAATTTCCGTATGTGCTTGGTTACTTTGACACTGTGGAACCCATGGATACCAGAGTCATCTGTGCTGGACTTTGTGGACACCTTCACACTCATGTATATATTCATATGGACATACTTCGGAGCCTAATTGCAGCACACCTCCATGTTTGAAAGCGATAACATAGACACTAGTCACACTTACAGACATGCCCAGAAACGCATGCTCATATCTGTTCACAGGAGCCAACATATTCAGCCATTTATCTCACAGCTTAACGTACACTGTCACAGACACATGCATGTGCATGCACAAATAGGTACAGAATGCATACATTTGCATACATTTGCATGGTATATTCGCTTGTGCATTTCTACAGTATGCAGATGTGCACGAATGCACAAATGCGCACACACACCTGCGCACACACAGAGGTACGTGGCGCACACACATACCTATGTACACAGACTCATGCCATACAAGTGCACACTCATGCCTAGCACACACATACCCATGCAAATACGCATAGATATACACAGCCATGCACACACCCCTTTACACGTGTACATAAATACCCTTACCAACACACACACAGGCACACACATATCCACATGTACACAAACCCACACAATGTCCATACACACAAATGTTCACTCATAGAATGTTCACTGTACCCGGTACCATACTCTCTTTGAGACGGATGAACCATTCCCAGGATTGAGAGCTGTTGTCCATTCCGTGAACCCTTTCTTTCTGGTTCTAGGTGTAAGCCTGGCGTTTGCCCTGCGTCCATACCAGCTCTCCTACCGCCAGATCAAGTACTTCTCTTTCCCGGGTGAGCTGCTCATGAGGATGCTGCAGATGCTCGTGCTCCCTCTCATTGTCTCCAGCCTCGTCACAGGTGAGTGCCCAGCCCACCGTGCATCTCGGGAACCCACCCGAAGCCCGAACTGGAGAAAAAGCCATGGCTACCCCAGTCCTACAAGCCCTTTCCAGACTCATCCACTCAAGCCATGCCCAGGTCTTGCTTAGGTCCTGCTGTCACATGAGTCGTGTATTCCAATAACTTTCTTCTTCTTGAAGGTGAATTATCAGCCTGCCAGAGCTCAGGGTTATCCAGAGGGGAAAGAAAGACAGGAAGGACAAGAAAGGGAGCTGGGATATGGGGTAGATGAATAGAAGGTGGGATGTGGGTGAGCATGCAGGAGGTGAGGAGGGTGAGGTGCCAGGGTGGAGGGTTGAGGAAGGGAAGGGGCTGTGGAAGGATTAGGTGGCACGTTTTCTTCTAGATAGTAAATGTTTTGGTTCACCAGGGCCGCCTGATCTCATTGCAATGGTTCAGTTCTGATCTTGGAGTAGAAGCACACCCATAGGCAGTGTGTCAGCAAATGGGCATGGTTATTATCCTGATTTTATTTGTGTTGTTATATTGAAATACTTGATAAAAAAGCAACTTAGGGGAGAAGGGGTTTGTTTTAGCTCACAGGTTACACTTCACCATTCAGGGAAGTCAGTGTGGGAACTCAAAGCAGCTAGTCATATCACACCCACAACCAAGAGCTGAGAGAAAAACAGATGGACGCGTGCTTATTCTTATCAAGCTCCTTCTCTAGACACACACAGCACAGAATCCTTTGCTCAAGGAATTCTGCCGTGCACATTAGCTGGGCCTCCCATTCTCAGTCTGGACAACCCTCCATAGATATGGCCACAGGTCCACCTGTCTAGACAGTCCTCCACTGAGCCTCTTCCAAATGGTTCTAGATTGTGTTAACAACTAAAACAACTCAGCACAGTTGTGTTTCAATAACACTTTACGAAAGCGAACAGTGCACCCTAGGTGGTGTTTATCAAGCCCTGGGGTTAGGGACAGAAATAATGGTCAAGGCTTAAAACACTGGTTTCTTATGTTGGGCTACTTAGAAGCCGAGCCTGAAGTGTGGATCTGGTCACAGAGACTCACCAAGGGAAAAACCCATGAGGAAGTGAGGGAAAAAGGACAGGGTCGGGGAAAGAAGCAGAGCAAAGATGTGTGCTGAGAAGAAGGCTTGTGTCTTAGTGTGAGCCCACTGGGTGGGGGTCTCTGAAGTGTGAGCAGCATTAAGAGTTGTCTCTCCCCTCCACCTCTGCCTTCCTCTGACTCTCTGTGCCAGCCAGTCATGACTAGAGCTGACTCTGGGACCTTTCTGGAGGAGGCAGCTCCCACTCTGCTGAGAATTACTCTTAGGAGAAGAGAAAGTGCAGGCGGTTAGTGTCCCTTTGTGTAAACTCAGCAGCTGGATGGTTGTATCGCCCTGGCAGAGGGCATGAGGGCACAGCACAAATAGTATGGAGGCAGAGTGTGGAAAGGGCTGGGCTGGGTGGGGGTGAGAGTTTGGGGTGAGGACTTCAGTGTTTGGGAGATTTATGGTGCATCACTGGAGGGTCGAGTGGGAGCTGAAAGGTTGACGTGGAGCAGAGGGGAGGTTCTGTGATTGGTGGGGTTCTTTGGGGTAAACAAATGGAATGGTATATGCTCATGCCTGTGCTCTTCCCCCACCATGTATATGGTGGTGAAGGAATTGATTTTGAGCCAGGTCTAGGGTGCTGGCCCAGTTACTCACCTTTTAAGCAATATTTTTATTTAAAAATTTGCTTTTAGCCGGAGGTACAAAAATGGAATCATCCCTTGGTTGAGCCATTAGGGGACTGATTTCAAGATCCCTACAGCTACAAATACCTGAGCATGCAGAAGCCCTTTCTACAAAATGCTGCAGTATTTGCAGGTGACCTGTGCCTCTCATGCTGTGTGCTTCAGATCATCTCTAGATGATGGACTGTACCCGATAAACTGGACAACTTTATTTCAAAACAAAGCAAAACATTTCTTTACTTTTATATATTAATTTTGTTACTATTATTTAATCATGTGTCTATGTGGGTTTGTGCACATGAATGCAGATGCCCATGGAGGCCAGAAGGGGACATCAGATCCCCTGGAACTTGAGTTATGAGTGGTTGTGAGGCACAGAATGTTTGTGCTGCTGATGGGATTTGGATTTCCTGTAAGAGCAGTATATGCTCTTAACTCCTGGACTACCTCACAGGTCTCCTTTATTCACTTAAAAACTGCTGAGAATGTATTTACTCATGATAGCACAGAAGCAGTTGTGTAGAGAACTCTCAGCCACTGAAGGCGCACGCGTGGTTTCTGTTGGATGTGCAGTGATTTTGAGCTGATGGTATGGAGTGGGTGGAGCAGATGGGGACGGGGGAGGAGGAGTATGGGGCCGCTGCAGGGACGGTGCTTTCTCTCCTCCAGGTATGGCTTCCCTGGACAACAAGGCGACAGGGCGGATGGGAATGCGGGCAGCTGTGTACTACATGGTGACCACAGTCATTGCAGTCTTCATCGGCATCCTAATGGTCACTATCATACATCCCGGGAAGGGCTCCAAGGAGGGGCTGCACCGCGAGGGCCGCATTGAGACTGTTCCAACAGCTGATGCTTTCATGGACCTGGTCAGGTGACATTTTCATTTTATTGGGACTTCTGGAGTACGTGCAACAATTCTCTTTCTGTGAAAGACCACAGGGACAGGTGGAACTAGTCTGGAAAAGAAAGCTATTACTGGTTGCCATTTTTGGTGCTCACTTTTTGCCCTGGATCCTTGCATATATCCTCCAAGAAAGCTAAATCTAGTTAGGAGCTTTGCAGTCTGAGGCTGCGAACATGAGCTACTGTTTGCTTAGGTGTTCCCAAACTCCTTTGGTGAGCAAATGATTCTTTTAGTCCAAGAAGACTTTGCCTCCTGTCAGAATCAGTGTCAAAGCTAGTTATATTGCTCCTGACTTGGAGGTGGAAGAATTACCATGGTGTTTCTGCTGCTATTACACAATATCTGAGGGCCAAGGAGATGCTCAGTGGGTAGAGGTACTTGCTGACCTAAGTTCAAGCCTCTGGACCCACCTGCTGGAAGGAGAGAAAAGAACCCCACAAGCTGTCTTTTCATGTTTACACACACACACACACACACACACACACACACACACACACACTCAGTCTCTCTCACATACACATTCCTAAGTAAATATCACAAAATTTGGGGTCAGTTGAGATGATTTAGCGGGTAAAGGCACTTGTCACTAGGCCTGACAACTTAATGGGATCCACTTGGTGGAACGAGAAAACCAGCTCCTGCAAGTTGTCTACCTTCTGCATGTAGACCATAGCACATGTAAGCCCCCAATAACTGTATTAACATTGAAATAAAACACGCAGTTGAAGTTAAGTTAGTTGTAAAATAAAAACAAAAAATAAAAAAACAAGGAGCAAATATTTATCTCATTCTCTTGGGGATCTAGGGTGTCCAAGAACTTGGTGCCAGCATGGAGTGAGGTCCTTCTGTCTGCATTCTAACATGGCAGAGAACACATGATGGTTAGCTAGAGCAAGCATATCAGAAAGAGCTTCTTTTTAGAACAAGGCCGCTTCCTATTACTCTATAGACCCCTTCAGTCCAGAGCTCCACCTTGCAGCATCACCTTTATGGCAATCAGATTCCACTCTGACTTTTGGAGGGGGCTAACTGTAATCAATCCATGTTAAGTTCCATCTTCACCTATGAGCAGCTCTATGGCTCTGGGTGACGTCTTCTGGCCTGTGGTTTCCTTGTGTGGAAGCTAAGGATACTGATGGTATCTGCTTCTAGGGTCATTGTAGGGCTTCTATCAGATGGTGTTGGGCAGGCACTTTGCTTAGCGCTTGGCCAACACCATGCAGTTCTATCCTGCCTGCCGCTACTCTTGTCATTGCTATTATTGCAGTATCCTTGGGCTCACTTCCAAAGTCTAACCACTTTCCTTTCTCTGATGTTTTTGTGCAGAAATATGTTTCCACCTAATCTTGTGGAGGCCTGCTTCAAACAGGTTAGGAAGAAGCACATGGTTTGATTAAGAAGGGATGGAGGGTGGAGGGAGCTCCCTTCCTAAGGAGAAGGGTGGAGAGAAGGGCCTGAAAGAGTGGGGCCCTTGGGGGGCACTCTGGGAGAATAAGTGTACTTCCTGTGGCTGTGATGGTGATACAAAGTGTTGCCAGGTCATGGGACTTATGGAGACTGGGAAGCTGAGGCAGGGGTTCTGGGATGCCTGATCATAAATGTCAAAGAGAGAGATCCTAAAATCTGCACATCTCCTTGGGGCTGGTAGCCAAGGCAACATGTGAAGAGGGCTTACAGGTTTCATTAAAACTGGTTTACAGAAGCAAGTGGTGGGCTGGATTTGGCTGGCGGGTGGTGTTTATCAACCGCTTTATTGAAGGATAAAGGATAAAGGATAAAGATGCAGACTACACATCTGTTCTTTAATGCCTTCACTTCTAATGCCCTCGCTATTCATTTACTCATTTCTTTCCCCTTGTGAGGAGGATGAAACCCAGGGCTTGTTTATAGTAGGCAAACGTCAGTTGCTGACTTCCTCCTCCTCCTCCTCCTCCTCCTCCTCTTCCTCCTCTTCCTCCTCCTGCTCCTCCTTCCGTTTCTCCTTCTTCTCCTCTTCTCCTTCCTCCTCCTCCTTCTTATTATTTATGTGTGCGTGTGCGTGTGCGTGTGAATGCATGCCAAGTGTGGGTGTGGCGCTCACATGGTAACTTTGGGAGTTGGTTCTTTCCCCCCTCCGTGGGTTCTGAGGATCCAACTCAGGTCATTAGGCCTGTGCACAGCGAATATTTACCTGCTGTGAGCTGTTGGCCCATTGCTCATTTCTTTAGTAATATGTTTTATTAAGAAATTTAAAATTGATATATAAAAATTATACTATCCCTTGGCATTAGAAAAAAGATTGGATCCAAAAAAGAGATTGCTGCTCACATCTTTTGTATGAAATGGGTGGAATTGTGCAGATGATCTCTGGATGATGTAGGACAGCTAACACATGTAAATGAGATGCAGACACTGTTCTTCTGCTTTAGAACTACCTAGAGCAGCGGTTCTCAACCATCCTAATGCTGCGACCCTCGAATACATTTCTTCATGTCGTGGTGACCTCAACCATAAAGTTATTTTTGTTGCTACTTCCTAACTGTAATTTTACTACCGAGAGGTGTCTCGGTTCCTGAGGCTATCGGCAACATGTGTTTTCTGATGATTGTGACCCACAGGTTGAGAACCACTGGCTTAGAAACTAATGACAAGACAAAGGTCTGAATTTGTTCACTACCCAAATTTTTCTTCCCAAGTATTTTCAGTCCATGGTCGCATGTGTCCGTGGGCATGGGATTCACAAATGCCAAGGAGCTGTGTGTGAGATGTTTTCTGGGGTGATATAACACAGAGGTCTGCTCGTCCCATGACAGACTGAAGTCCAGCTGGGGGAACCAGTGCGTTTTTGGCAGGATTTCTAACTGGCGTGTGGGTGAGGAGCTACTTACCGGAGCAGGGATGGCTAAAATTAAGCTGCATCACTCAAAAGCCCATCCCAGTATGGGTGCTGAAAGCTGCAATCCTGGGGAGCTCTCTGCAATTTCAAGCAGCTCAGCAGGTCTGAGAAGCTAATCTCGGCAGCGTGGTTGGTCAATCTCCCTGCCTAGCAGTTATGTCATGCTTCTAGAAAGGCAAGGATGAGCTTTCATGCATCTTGCGAGCTTCGGATTTCTCAAACATGTGAACTTTGTTCACTTGCTGAATTTCATGAGCCTTCCAGTTCCCTCCTGGAATGAATCTTTCAATTTAGCGCAAACTGCTATACAACAGGGTACACTGTATGTGCTTAGGGGGCTCTGAAATATACACATATTTCATATCTATGTAATGTATGTGAATGAATACATAGAAATCACATGTAAATCATAAATGTCTATGAAGTCTGTGTATTCTTCATATATATATATATATGGTGAAATAGCCAAATCATGCCAATTAGACAATACACCACAGACACACAGAATGAAAAAAAAACTTTAATAAGTTTCCAGTTTTGGTGCATTTTGGATATTGGATTGTTATTTTACATGCTTGTTTTATTACGTCTTGTTTATTCCCTCGTGTGTGTGGTTATGTATATTTGTGGTCGTGTGCTATGGTGCATGTGTGGAGATCAGAGGACAAGTCTCAGAAGCAGCTCTCCACTTCTCACCGTGTGGAGCCCGGGTTCCAACTTAGGTTGTCGGCCTCTGCCAAAAGCCTCTTTACTCCCTTGTCTGCCATGGATTTTGAGTTTTGGGTTAGGGATGCTCAGCTTGTATTTCTTTGTGTTATTTAACTCATGTCCTTGGTTATATACTCAACAGTGGCCTTACCGGGATGTAGTGTGTGCGTGTGTGTATGTGTGTGTATACACATTTACAAACGCCAAGGATGGATTGTGGTACCTCATGCATGCTAAGCATGCCTAGCTCCTGTTTTTATCTTTATTTTTCTGAGGCATGTCCATTCTTAGTGATTTCTGCAGGTAACTTAACCACCATACTTAATCTGGCCCCAATTTCTCTGCATTTCAGTTTAAGACACAGTACAGCACACGGATGGTAACCAGGACGATTGTAAGGACAGAGAATGGGTCAGAGCTGGGAGCCTCCATGTCTCCCCCACCCTCAGTAGAGAATGAAACCAGCATCCTGGAAAATGTCACCAGGGCCTTGGGCACCCTGCAAGAGGTGATAAGCTTTGAGGAGACTGTGCCTGTACCTGGCTCGGCCAACGGCATCAACGCCTTGGGCCTCGTGGTCTTCTCCGTGGCCTTTGGGCTGGTCATTGGTGGCATGAAGCACAAAGGCCGTGTCCTGAGGGACTTCTTCGACAGTCTGAATGAGGCTATTATGAGGCTGGTGGGCATCATCATCTGGTGAGTGGTGGGTGGTGGAGATGGGGCTGATGGGATTGTTACAGACTTTTGGTCAAGTCATTCATCTGGGCATTAGTTAATTTAGTCATTAACTCATTTGTTCATTGATATCTTCCTGTAGTGACTTATTCATCTGCTCATGACCTCATTATTCTATTTACTCACTCATTTGTGCATTGACTCAGTGATTCATTCTCTTCTTCATTTGTCTATGTCCATTCTTCTACTCATAGGGTAACCCACTTTTTTCATTTAGAAAAAAATATATTCTAAGAGAACTTCACACATGTATACCAAGTATTGTGATTATATCCATATTTTCATTCTCCCTCTAACTCCTCTCAGATTCTCAGTTCCCTCCCAACTTTATGTTCTCATGTGCATGTGTTTGTATTTGTATATATCTCCCACTGATTCCTGTTCGAGCTGTCTGTGTGGACACGGTTGAGGGACCATCCTTTGTATTGGGCAATTTACAAGATGGCACACTCAGAAGAAAATGTACTTTTCCTTCCCAGCAGCCATTAACTTTCCAAATAGTTTCCAGTTGGGGTGGGGCTTGCGAGGCCCTCCCACTGAAGGCTGGAATGCTGACTGGCTTGATCTTCTGTCAAGCTTGTGCAGACAATTGCAGATGCTATGAGTCCATTGCACTATTTTGTTTTTTCTTCCTATGTAGCCCATGATGGCCTGGAACCTGCCGGTCTCTTGCATCAGCCTCCTGATTAGTAGGATTATAAGCATGCATCAGCGTACTTCTCTGTTGATTAATTTAACCATAAACTCATTAATTCACTTACTCTTTCTTGTCTGCAATTAATTTTAGTGACTTATTTTTTCCTTCCTTCCCTCATATATTTCTTTAATTCACTCACTCTCATTTTTCTAGCATTGGCCCACTTAATCATTTTATTTTAATCTATTCTTCTATTCACCAGTTAAATCACTTATTCACGTATTTATCAATTCACTGATAAATCCATTCATTAGTTAATTCATTTCACAATAGTTATTACTTTATTACATCTATCTATCTATCTATCTATCTATCTATCTATCTTATGTCTATCACTGTGTCTGATATATGTGGGGGGTGTGCATGCCACAGAATGCATGTAGAGGTCAGAGAATAAACTTGTGGGAGTTAGTTCTCTCCTCCTACCATGTGGACTTCAGGATCCAACTCAGGTCTCTAGGCTTGGCAGAACATATGTTTTTCCTGTGGAGCAATTCTGGCTCCATAATTATTTTTAAGTGCTGGAGCTGACGCAAGGTCTGTGTACTAGATAATCAATCACTCTACACTGAGCTGTACCTTCAGTCTCCCAAATAACAATCTTTTTTTTTTTTTTTTTTTTTTTTTTTTGTATTCTGAGCAGAATGGAACCCAGGGCCTTGGGCAAGCTAGGCAATTGCTGTGCCACTGAACAGTTTCAACCCTTTTAATTAAGACATTGACTACGTTTATTTATTTACTCACTAAGCCATTCTGCTTAGGTTCGCTCTCAGACCTGCATATTCATGTATGCATCTGGCATTCTCTCATTTACTCCTTCAGATATTCCATTTGTCTATTTGCTTACATTCTGACTCGTGCCCTGTTTTCTTGTTTTCCTTTTTTACATTGGAGTGAGGTGAGATTTGCACGTGTTTGTGTGTTATTTTTGCATGGGGTGTGTATGTGCGTGGTGGCCCAAGGACGATGTTGGGAATCATTCTCCATAGTTCTTTCACCTTGTTCATTATGGAAAGATCTCTCAGACAAACGCAGAGCTAAAGGAACTTGAGCTTGCTATCCAAATTGTTTTGAGTGATACCCCCTCTTCACCTTCAGAGGCTGGAGCTTCAGGCTTGCTGCGGTGCCTACTCAGGATTTCATGCGTTTGGGGGCCTTCAAACTTTCTCTTGCTTGCGTAGAAAGCACTTTAACTACTGAGCTATCTCCTTAAGCCTGTATCTTCTTATCACATTAATTTTTACTAAACCCTTCCAGTCCTTCACTAGATAATTCGCCTAGAAGACGCCTCCCCAGGCTTCACACACACACACTGAACTCATCCTTGAGGAAGTATGTAAAATGGAGGAGGAAACAGATGGAGACCACATACACTTAACACAGAGCAGTAGGTGCCGCAGGAGAGCTACAGCAGTGAAGTGTTAGGAATGTGGAGCAGCCCGTGGTGAGCGGAGCAAATGCAGTGGCAACTGCCTGGGAAGGGGAGGTGTGGGACTGGGCCTGGACGGTGAGGAAGAACCTAACAGGACCCGAAGAGGAGAGGGGCATATTGCACACACGGAAGGGAGCAGGCAGAGCTCGAGAAGTCCAGTGTTCGAACCGTCAGTGTTCCAGGTTCATGTTGGTTGCTGTGATGAAATTCTGACATAAAGCAACAAAGGAGTTGTTTGCCATATGCTTCCAGGTGACAGTCCATTATTGTGGAGCCGATAAAGCAGGAACTTAAAACACCACATCTAATTCAAGAGGAGAGCAAATAAACACACGAATCCTTAACTGCTTGTTTGCTTGTTTTGTATTCAGCTAGCATCATCCGTCCTTACTCGGGCCAGGGTCAAGCCCGTGACATGGTGCTTCCCATAACGAACTGGGCGTTCCTGTGTCCATTAGCAACCAACACAGCACCTCACAGACATGCATGAAGACCGACCTGATCTAGCCAGTTCCTCACTGAAACTTTAGTCTCAGGTTATTTCAGGTTGTGTCAAGTTGAAAGTTCAAACTAACGAGCACAGGCAACAATTTGTGGACATTTAGAAGGCCAGAGATAGGGAATGTCTGAGTCTCTTAAGATTTCTGTTGTCGTGAAGAGACACCATGACCTCAGCAACTCTTATAAAGGGAAACATTTAGCTGGGGCTGGCTTACAGTTCAGAAGCTTAGTCCATTATGGTCACGGCAGGAAGCATGTGGCATGCAATCAGATACGGTGCTGGAGAAGAAGCCACGAGTGTTCTATATCTGGGTCAGCATGCAACAGGAAGAGAGAAACACACTGGGCCTGGCCTGAGCACCACCAGAAACCTCAAAGCCAGCCCCCAGTGACACACTTCCTCCAACAAGACCACACTTCCTCCAACAAAGACACGCCTCCTAATAGTGCCACTCCCTGTGAGCCTCTAAGGGCCATTTTCATTCAAAGTACCACACTTAGCAATGTCTAAGGATGAGGTTCTGAAGGGAATAGTCATCTGGGATGGAGTTGGAAGGGGCCTCAAGGAGGTAATGAGATAAAGACCCTGGAAGGCTGCATGCTGTGATATTGGAGGAACTTTTCTTCTGATCAGATGAACAATGGGGTGACTTGGGAGGAAGTTACGTCCATGGAACCCAATTGTATTTACTAGCTAGCTTTCTGTTGCTAGAACAAAATACCCAAGAAATCCAGTTTAAAGGAGGAAAGGTTTTTCTTGCCTCACAGTTTTGCAGGTTTCAGCACATGGTTGGTTAGTTCCATTGCGTCTGGGCTATGATGGTGAATGAATACAGCCAATGATGTTGCTAACTTCACAGCATCAAGGAAGAAGAGATGGGAGACAGCGAGGGACTAAGGACTAGGGAGAAGATACATCCTTCAAGGGAACACTCCCCAGTGACCTGCTTTCTTTAACTAGGCCCTTCGTATAGTTTACTCCCAAAAGCTTATTCAGCTACAAATCCATCAATGGATAACTCATAGCGGAGGTTGGAAATTTCATGAACAGTTAGCTTCCACAGGCTTCCACCTCAGAACACTGGCCCACTGGGGACCAAGCCTTGAACACATAAGCTGTTGGGGGCAATGTTTTGAAAGCAAACCCTAACATCAGTGCTGTTTGAAAAAGATTTTATTTTATTTATATGTGCGTATGTACGTGCATGTGTTTGTGTAAGTGGATGTGCAGATTTGTCTACGGGTGTCTACGGAGGCCAGAAAGAAGTGCCAGATCCCTTGGAGTTGGAGTTAGAGGTGTTTTTTGTTTTTTTTTTTTTTTTTTTTTTTTTTTTTTTTTTTTTTTTTTTTTTTTGAGTGCCTAATGTGGATGGTGGTACATGAAATCAGGTCTTCATCATTGAACAGCAAGTACTCATAACCACAGGGCTATTTCCCCAGTGTCTCAGTGCTGTCTTTGATGCTTGGGAAAGGTTGTGATGGAGTTGGGGGGTTGCATGAGAGGAACTGCCTGGCTCCCGGACACTGTATGGGCAAAGCCTTGGGAATGTCAGCTCCAGACCTGTGAGGAAGATCTCCCTAATGTTATGTGCCTTTGCCAGGTATGCACCCGTGGGCATCCTGTTCCTGATTGCTGGGAAGATTCTGGAAATGGAAGACATGGCTGTCCTTGGAGGTCAGCTGGGCATGTATACCCTGACTGTCATCGTTGGCTTATTCCTTCATGCTGGCGGCGTGCTGCCGCTCATCTACTTCCTTGTCACCCACCGGAACCCCTTTCCCTTCATTGGGGGTATGCTGCAGGCCCTCATCACAGCCATGGGGACCTCTTCCAGGTATGGCTCTTTCCTACACTCTCCCTGGGTCCATTTTTTATCTTTCATGGGTTCCTTTAGATACCCTCCTCTCCACGTGCCCAAACACCTCTTCTAGCTGTACAGTAGACTTAGGGAACTTGATGATATAGGGTGTGTCCGTGATGACTCCCCTGACCTCCTCGCTTCTTTTCTTGTTTCTCTAGTTTATGAGGAGAGTCTGGCTCTCCTCGTCTGTGCCAATTGGCATCTGTGCCAATTCTGGGTTTAAGATGGTACTCTGGGGGGGGGGCTGGAGAGATGGCTCAGTGGTTAAGAGCACTGGCTGTTCCTCCAAAGGTCCTGAGTTCAGTTCTCAGCAACCACATGGTGGCTCACAATCATCTATAATGAGATCTGGTGCCCTCTTCTGGTGTGCAAGTGTACATGCAGGCAGAATACAGGAAAAAAAAAAAAGATTTAGCTTGTAATCTGTCTGCCTGGGGGGTTAGGGTGAGATGGTGCTCTGGGAGTACCACAAGCTCAGAGCTTTCTTCTGCTTGTGCTTTTAGAGCGTTATAGTGACCCCCCCCCCCTTATCTCTCATCATCCAAATTTAAAACAGTTTGAGAAAGTGTTCCAAGAGCCAAACAGATAGAAGAAAATGTTTTGCCTTCATGGTGATTGGAGAATGTGCCTTCTGATCTTTGATCTGTGACTAAATGGGATTGCTACTGCTACCCCTAGAATTAAATTCATCTGATCACTACGGAGCTATTCAGCCCTACAGCTCACTGGGTGCTTTGCAGTAGGCGCTTTCTGGCTCTGAGGACAGAGATCCTGTCAGTCCAAGCTTTAAGTTTCACAGCAGAAAGCTGACACACAGGGACTAGTTCTTGCAGACAAAACAACCCCAAATGACATGCCTACTCTTTCCACCAAATATGCCAGTCAGTGAAACGCCACTCTGGGAAGTGGTTGGGGAGAGACCGAGGGCTCCTGTAGATGGCGCTGTTGTCTGTGCAGACAAACACTGTCCTTTCTGTCTGTCCTATCTCACTTCTATTGCTGTGATAAAATACCTTGGCAAAGGGCAACTTAGCAGGGGAAGGAACTTATTTGGCTTAAAATTCCAGGTCACGGGCCATCCCCGTGGGGAAATAAAACCCGGAACTTAAAGCATCTAGTCACATCTCACCCAGGAACAGAAAAGAAATGCACACTTGCTAGGTTACACTTAGCTTGATCTTGCCACTCGTAAACATCACTCTTAAACCCCTGCCTGCGTAGGGGTGCCACCTACTGTGGGCTGGGTCTTCTATTTCCTTAGCTGAGGCAACGCCCCAGAAGGTAATTCCCACAGGAAAACCAGACAGAGGAACCCATCATTGAGACTCTCATCTAGGCTGACAAAGTTACATTTACACAGTCTGGGCCGGACTAAGTTTGGACGGGTCAAGAGACAGTGCTCTCGGGGGACCCCACCACCGAGCTCTCTCTGCACCAGGCGCCCCACTTCCCCATGCGCGACTGCCACTCCCACTTTTCACTCCTTGCTGAAATTCCATCCTCTCCATGTGCCAGAGGAGAGCCCGCCTTTAGCTCATCGCTGCCATTGCCCCTGCCCCATAAACTCGGCATTCTCAGCCCCCAGAGCTCTCTTCCCCCAGCTCCGCAACCTTGCCTATCACTTTCCGCTGCCTGGAGGAGGGCCTGGGCGTGGACCGCCGCATCACCAGGTTTGTGCTGCCCGTGGGCGCCACGGTCAACATGGACGGCACCGCACTCTACGAGGCCCTGGCAGCCATCTTTATTGCGCAAGTCAACAATTACGAGCTCAACCTTGGCCAGATCACCACAATCAGGTGAGATGATGATGATGTCATCAGCTAGGCAGGACAGAGGCCGTGTGTACAAACAGATTTGTATTTATGTCTTAGTCCTACCTTAGATATATAATTATGTATATGTAATATCACAAAATCTGAAAAAGGAAAGCACCCTGTGAAACATTTCTCGTCTCCAATATTTTGGACGAAGTATGTAGGATGCTCAACAGCATTTGTCTCCAGGCTGTTTTTTTTTTTTTTTTTTCATTTCCGTTGCATATAAGTCTGACTACCACACAAGAATGAAAATGTTCACTCTGTGAAGGAAAGTATTTTCTTCATTGAGAAATTCTGCCATACACCCACCCTGACTTAAGATGGTTTGACTCATGATCTTTCCCTTCCTCCTTCTCTCCCTCCCTTGCTCTGTCCCAATCTTACCTCTCTCTTCCTTCTTTTCTCCATTTTTTCTTTTCTTTCTTCCCTCCCTTCCTCAAAACTTCCTCTCTTTCTCTTTCTCTTTCTCTCTCTCTCTCTCTCTCTCTCTCTCTCTCTCTCTCAGCTGGCTGCCCTGGTATCCTGAGTTGTTGGGATTGTGGGCACGTGCCACTGTGTAATGTAATGACGTTTTGACTTAATAAGGGTGTGAGCATGATACATGTTCGGTACAAACTACACTTAGTATTTTTTAAAGTTTTTAAAAATGTTGTGTGTATGTATATGTGACTGTGTAAATTCCGTGTTTGCCACATGTGTGAACGTGCTTTTCAAGGTGAGAAACAGGCTTCAAGTTCCTTGGAAGTGGAGTTACAGGTGGCTGTTTGATGTGGGTCCTAGGAATAGAGCTTAGATCTTCTGTGAGGGCAGTTAGTGCTCTTAACTGCTGAACCATCTCTTCAGCCACCCAGTTTTAAATAACTAAAAAGTACATTTATTTGTGTGTGTGTGTGTGCCACAGTGCACATATGGAGGTCAGAGGACCACTCACAGGATTCAGTTTTTCACATCCCCTGTATGGGTCCCAGGGTTTGAGCTCAGGTCAGGCGTGGCATTCCAGCATCTTTATTCTAGACTTCATTTTTGACTGTAGCCTTTTCCTAGGGTAGTGATGTGGTACCGGGGTGGAGTGTTTTAATTGACAACTTGGCAGCAGCTGGAGTCACCTGAGAAGACCTCGGTGAAGGCCTGGCCTTTGGACATGTCTGTGGGAGATGATCTTGACGGTTTTAATTAATGCAGGAAGGCTCAGCTTAGAAAGTGGGCTTAGGTCCTGAATTGTGTAGAAGGAGAGTGTGACCTGACCCATAGCTCGGCATACATTTATTTTCCTGCTCTTGACTATGTTGCTGACTGTTTCAAGTTCCTGCCGTGACTTTTCTGCAGTGGTGGACCGTAGTCGGAAACTGTGAGCCAAAACAAAACCCTTTCTGCCAAAGTTTCTTTTTGCCAGATATTTTATCTCAGTAACAGATATGAATCCTGAACAGTCCTGGCTCTCTCCTGTTCACAATGAGAAAATAAGGTGTGCCTGCCGTTCTCCTGATGAGGCAGGAAAGACTCAGTTCATGTGCAAGGGGTAAAGCTCATTAATAGAGCATTCCCACCCAAGAGTCCATTATTTAATGCCAGTGTGAGTAACTGCACAATCATCATTCTGATAAAGCCATTGTCTGGGAAAATCATCTCCCTTTGTTCTATGTTTATGGTTGTAGAATCTAGACGGGGGTTTCCTAAGCTACTGGGAAAGAGAGCTGGCACCCGGATGCTACTACTACCTTTTCTGGTAAACTTAGTGGCCTTTACAACACACATCACATCTTGATGTGCTATTGGTTTTGATGCTGGAGTTTTAACATAGGTCACCCATGACCCAGGAGATCCTACTTTGAATTTCATATTAATTTGTGGGACTGGAAATGGAAAACAGGCTTTGTATATGCTAGACAAGTGCTCGATCACTGAGAAATACCCCTAGCTTTTTTTTAATTTTTAAAAATTATCTGAGTAAGAAACGGTTTTTAGTGGGCCAGGACACACGGCTCAGCGGTTAAGAACACTTGATGCTGTTGCAGAGGACCCGTGTTCAGTTCCCACTGTTTACATGTTGTCTTATAATTGTTTGTCAGCCCAGTTCCAGCTGACCCAACGCCCTTTAATGGCTTGCATGGGCATCAGGTACATATACAGTATACAACATACATGCAGGCAAACATTCATACATATGAAATTGAGAAAACCAACAACTTAAAAAATTCAAGAAAGAAATAGGCTCAAAACCCAAGATAGGCCAGAATGCCCTTGCCTCCAGTGTGGTAAGCTGTATTTGCCTTCTTCAAAAAATAGCTTCTGCTTTCTCCAGCCGCAGCTTTTCTGGATGATAGCTGACAAAAGTTGCATATATTTAAGGTGGATTTCATGATTTTTTGATGTATGTGCACTTTGCAAAATGATCACCACCATCAGACTGACTAGTACATTTATCTTCTTGTACGATTTCCTTCCTTCCTCCCCCAGTCTCTTCCATTCTGCTGTCTGTGGCTTCTCTTTTCTCCTCTAATTTCCTCTTCTCCTCCCATCTTTTCCACTCTCTTCCTCGCTCTTGTCTTTTGGTCCTTTCCCACCTCCCCATCTAATCTTGATGTCTTCTCCTTTTCTCATCTCCTTCCCCCCCCCCCCCCTTCCTTTTCTCTCCCTTGTTCTTTTCTTTTTCCTTTTTGCTCTCCCCCCCCACCTCTTCCCTCCTCTCCTCTCCCTTATCTGTCCCTCTGTTTCCCTCTCTCTCCCTCTTCTTTCTGTTGAATAGGCTTAAGGTCCATTCTCTTTGAAAAATTAAATCTAAAGACAGTATCATTAGCTACACTCGACACCCTGCACATCAGATCCCCAGAACTCACTCATCTGCTAGCTAGAGATCTTGTACCCTTTGCAGACATTTTTCATCTCCCAGCCTGTCTTCCCAGCATCATGGTTTCTACCTTTTGCTTCTGTGATTTTAATTTTTTAAATTTAGTTTCACATCAAAAGTGAGATCATGTAGTGTTTTTCTTTCTATGTTGGCTTGAGGATTTAGTTTAAGATGCCCTCCCCTTGCCTGATCTTGCAAGCTTCTGTTCTCTTTCCTCCTGAATTCCTGACTCTCTTCTCATTTGCAGCATCACAGCTACGGCTGCCAGTGTAGGAGCAGCTGGCATCCCCCAGGCAGGACTGGTCACCATGGTGATTGTGCTCACGTCTGTCGGCCTGCCCACAGAGGACATCACACTGATCATAGCTGTGGATTGGTTCCTGTGAGTGTGCTTTGGGTTTAACTGTGGGCCTATCCCTTCTCATAGCTTTTCCTGAAGGATTTTGCAAGGACATTGTTGTAGGATGTTAGAGGGTGAGGGAGGCATTGGAAAGTTCTGCTAATGATGGCTTAGAAGTGAATAGATTTATCATTTTGGGGACCTGGAGTGAGGAGAATTCAGAAAAGGAGGGCTCTGTGCATCAGTAAGCCAACTTCTTTTTACCTCATTTCATGTAGAATTTATAGAAAGGTATTCAAATATTTTTTAACTCAAATTTTACACAGTTTTTCTTAGTGAAAATGTTAATTTTAAATAATTTTAGAAGTAAGAAGAAAACATAGGTTACCTGTTGTATTAAATAGTGAATTTTGGCTTATAAAATCATCTGTGATGATGGGCAAAAGGATTTTGGTGGGTTTATGATCTGAAGGCTATGACGAGGCACATTTTCTCTCTTTCTTCTTGCCTCTCCTGTCCCCCTTTTCCTTTTCACTAATTAAATTTGTTCTTTGACACTTTCATACATGTATGCAATGCCTTCTGATTATTTCTCCCACTCTCTCTTAATTCCTTTTCACGCCTGCCACCCTCTTCCCTACGACTCCTTCTTCCCACACTCATGGTTTTATATGTGAATTGCCAAGTTGGAACAGGGCCATTTGTGTGTCTTGGCTTGAGACTATGCCATGGGCTCATGAGAGGGTAGATTCCTTTCACAGAATCTATTGGGAACCACTCAGCAGGGAGGAGCCACTCCCTAATCCCTATTTCTTTCCTCCGCCTTCCTCTCTCTTTCCCTCCCTCCCTCCCTTTCTTTCTTTTCTTCTTCCTCCTCTGTCCTTTTCTTTTCTTCCGTTCTTCCTTCCCTTCCTTTCCTTTCCTATTTCACTCATCCCCCTCCCTTCTTCCTTCCCTCTTTTCTATCTTTCTTTCTTTCTTTCTTTCTTTCTTTCTTTCTTTCTTTCTTTCTCTTTTTCTTTTTCCTTCCTGCATAACTTTGTCTTTTCACCATTCATTCTCTCTCATATTTCTTTTTTGATGACATGGAATTTACACAAAATGTTGATTTTCATCCCCATGTGGGAGCTGTGAGCAAAGCCAAGTCTCATTTGTCCAGAAGGTCTAAAATTTCACTGGGGCAGTCTTCAGCTCACCCGATACCTTGTGACAGTCTTTATCAAGTATTCATATCTAACGGTCTGCATCAGATGCTCCTGTCTAACAGTCTGCCTCAGACCTCCATTTCCAATAGCCTATATCAGATCCTAATGTCTAACAGTTTGTATCAGACTCTTATATCTAATCATCTCTAAATTAATATATTTAGAAACAAGAACCACAAATCAGACTGCACCTGACAATTTCAGGGATGATATTGTCAGGAAGGGAAACTGAGGAAGAGTGGGGCCTGTTCGAAGTGGTTCACAAAGGAGCCCTTCATCCCTCCATTAATCTATCTATTCTCTACCAGTGACCGACTTCGTACGATGACCAATATACTGGGGGACTCAATTGGAGCGGCCGTCATTGAGCATTTGTCCCAACGGGAGCTGGACCTGCAGGAGGCAGAGCTGACTCTCCCCAGCCTGGGAAAGCCCTACAAGTCACTCATGGCACAAGAGAAGGGAGCATCGAGGGGTCGGGGAGGTAACGAGAGCGTCATGTGAGAAGCTTCTAGCTCTCTGTGCCGGGAGGAGGGAAGGGGCTGGGAGGGGAGTCCTGGGGACCATGTGTTGCCCCGCTGAGTGTGGGCTGAACATACATGTTCTGTGTGGCTTCTCTGGGGACTGCTGAGATAAAAGAGAAGGAATGAAAGGTATCCAAGGTGTATTCATCACTGTTGCATTTGTGTTCTCCAAATACAAAAACAGCTCAAGGGAAGGAAGATTTATTTTGGCTATGGTTACAAAGGTTCACCAGAGTAGGAAGGCATGGAGGAAGAGAGCAGCTCACTTCATGGTGGTTAGAAACCAGAGACAAGAAGAAATGGGAAATGACCAAGGCAGGTTACAGTTCCCTAAGACATCCTACCTGTGACCACTTTCTTCAACTATACCCTTCCTCCTAGTTTTTACCTCTTTCCAAAACAGCAATCACATTATGGAAACATCAAGGGAATGATTCATTCATTAGGTCAGAGCCCTCACAAAGCAGTCATTTCTCAGACACACAAGGTGTGCTTTAAGAATTTTCTGGACACTTGTTTTGGTCCAGTCCAGCTGAACAAGAAAGTTCATCGTCATAAAGGTCTCTGTTCATCTCTGAGTGTGCTGAAAACTTGAAGGATGGTGTGAGAAAAAAAAGGGGAAAAAACATTTGGAATTAGGGGAAGAAAATCTTCAAGCTCAGCAAGAAAGATCAACTCTTATTCTTTATGTGGTGGAGCTGACAAGGGCAAAGAAAAATGCCTGCTATTTCTTGTGATAAAGTTATGTGTGGATTTTGTCTTGAGATACTGAAGACCACATTCAGATTTAATGACTCATTAATAAGACTCAAAGAACTCAAAAAGCCACTCTCCTCTTACACAGGGTTTATTCGGGTTCCAATTCAAAACAACAAAGACACGTGGTTGGGGCTGGGGTGGGATGGATCAGATGCACGTTTCCAGTCCCTTTCTAGTGAAGTCATGGAACCCAGTGACGTCTTCCCACAGCATAGGTGGCAACATGCATGACACCCTGATGTCTTAGTTCTGTTTCTTGTTGTGACAACACACCCAGACAAAAGCAACTTAAGAGTCAAAGGGTTTATTTGACTCTTTCTTCTTGGTTAAAGTCCACCACGGCAGGGAAGTCAAGGTGGCAGGATGGCAAAGCAGCTCTTGACATCCACAGTGAAGAGCAGAGAGAATGAATGTGTGCTCGCTCGTGCTCCTTGGATCTCATTAAGTTTAAAGTCCAGCCCATAAAACTGGGTAGCCCACATTCAGGGCAGATCTTCTTGTCTCAAATAACTCAATTAAAATCCTTCACATGCCCACGGGGAAACACAATCTCAACAATTTCTCATCGAGGTTTCTTTCCACTTGATTCTAAACTGTATCAAATTGACAGCTGAGACTGAAAACCATGAGGAAATGCACATGCACCTTGGGGCCTTGCCCCTGACTCCTCACTTGTCAGTCTCTGGAGTGGACAGTCCCGTGCAGTGTGGTCCAGGGCACCAACTGCATACCAGTAGGCGCTGACGTGATAGTCAGCATGTACTCTTAAGTATGGCCGTGGGCCCCTGTTTTATTTGACACTTTGTCAGGACAATTATTCCAAACATTAGAGATGTTTTAGTTTCATTTATGTTGATATAGTAAAACACTTGGTCCAAAATCAACCTAGGGAGGGAAATGATTTATCTGATGTAAAATTACCGGTCTCACTCTACCACCGAGGGAATCAAGACAGGAAGCGGAAGGCGGGCCTGCTCCTATTTTACACAGCGTTATCTGCAACCAAGAGACCAGTTTGTAGCCAAAGGAGGGCCACAGGAACCGTGGAGGCTGCTGTATGCTAGCTGGCTGGCAGGCAGACATCTGCCCAGCTGGGCACTGCTCACAGTGGGCCACATCAATCAATAAGACATCACTCTTAGTCAGGGGTTTATTTTCGTGAGGGGACAACATTACCATGGTACTTTATTAAAAGAAAGCATTAAATTGGGACTTGCTTAGAGTTCAGAGGTTTGGTCTGTTTTCATCATGGCAGGGAGCATGGTGGCATGCAGGCAGACATGGTACTGGGGAGAAGAATCTGAGAGTTCTCCATCTGGATCTGCAGGCAACAGAACAGAGAGAGAGAGAGAGAGAGATTGGGCCCAGCTTGGGCCCTTGAAACCTCAAAATTCATCCCCAGTGACATACTTCATCCAATAAGGCCACCCTCCTATCCTTTCAAATAGTGCCAATCTCTGGTGACCAAGAATTAAATCAATGAGCCTGTGGGGGTCATTCTCATTCAAACCACAGCATCCCTCCTCCCAGATTCCAGCAGGCCAATCTGATCTGGGTAATTGAGACCAACTTAGATGAGTCCGGGCTGTGTCGGGTCAATAGTTAAAGCCAAGTAGAATAGAGGTTATAGCTCAAGAGGTAAGCAAAGCCCAGTTCCTTATTTGGGGTATGCAGGCGTTGAGCACTTTTTGCCCTCTGAATTGACCTCTTTACTGCACACGGGTTTGGAAATGAAACATTTTGCTGCAGGATAGGTCTCCAGGTCTCGTATCTCCAACCATGCTGCCTCAGCGGATACCCCTTACAAACCAAAGGTGGACATTAAGGGTTGTTTTCCTGCACGTAAGTGACCCTGGCAGTACATCAAAGCCTTGGCGAAAACACAGAGAAACGGAAGCAGTTTATTTCCTATCACTAAAACTGAATAACTGAGACTGGAAACTTTATAAAATATGGAAGCTTATGTAAGCTACTGGTTCTGGAAGTGGGAGTCTAACACCAGGCAAGTTCCATCTGATTCGATGACAGCTTTATGCTGATTCATAACATGGGAGATGCCAGAAGGGGGGCGGGGAGGGCATGCACAAGGAAAATGGAGTCAAACGTGATACCTAAGCCACAAATAGGGCATAAGTTTAGATATGAGCTTCTATCTTCATTGCTGAACCAGCTTTCACCAGGCTCTATCCACAATACTGCTTCATCAAGAAGGTAGGGTTCTGACAAGGACATTTTTGGAAGGTATAATCAGGCCACTTACATAAAAACAGGATACTAGTTAAAGTCTGTTCTAAAAAAGACAGAATTAACTTTTTCTAAGTTAGATGACACCTAACTTGAACATATTTTTTTCCAGTAGTGGAAAGAAATGCTTTACATTCTTAAATTTAATTCTTTTAAAATTATTTATTTTTATTTTATGTGTAAGAGTGTTTTACTTGTGCACCATGTACGTGGAATGCCCATAGAGGCCAGAAGAGGGCGCCAGATAATATGGACCTGGAGTTACAGTTGTTAGCTGCCATGTGGGTGTTAGGACATGAAACCTAAGTCCTTTGGAAGAGCACATTACTCTTAACTTTTGAGCCATTGCTCTAGCTCCAATTTTTTTTAAGATTAAAAAAGTTCATTTTTCAAGAATTTTGTACACGCATACAACATTTTGGACATAACTATTCTCTACTCCCCTTCCAACCCAAACCAGAATCATCCCTGACAACCCTGCCCCCCCTCCAACTTCTTGTCCTCTTTGCACAGACCACTGCCTCCAGCCAGTGTTCTCCCTGGTTGCACTGATGCAGGGCCTTCCACGGGATTATAGCACCCTCCTAGGTGCCAACTCCATGGAAAACACTGACTTCCCATGCCAGCAGCCTTCACATTCTAAGGGTTTTCAGCTAGGGCTGGGGCTATGAGCCTCTCTTTCATACATGCTGGAATTTTGGCTAGCTTGATCTTGCACCAGTGTTGTTCAGGCAATCATAGCCCTTGTGAATTCGTGAGTCCTGTCACACTCAGAGGACATGCAGCACAATCCATCGGACACTGGAATCCTAACACGGGTCACTTCTCTGGAGAGAACTAATTCTCCTTACCCTGGCAGCGCTTTCACAGCCATTATCTGAACTGCTGGCTCTTGAGGCCTTTCCACCCCCTCTTCCATGATGTTCTCTGAGCCATGTGGAGAGGGAGCAAGATGTACATGTCCTACTTGGGACTGAGTAATCCTAAATACAGTGCAGGTGCGTTTGGAGATGCCCTCACGTTGGGAAATAGAGTGGGAAGGCTCGGGGTCTATGCCATTTATTTATAGTCACCACTGAGGCATTTATAGTCAGAGATCAGAAATGGCCCCCGATTCCAAGCCAGGTGTGGTGGTGCATACATTTAATTCCAGCACTTGGGAGGCAGAGGCAAGTGGGTCTCTGAGTCCAAAGGTAGTCTGGTCTATAGAGCAATTTCCAGGATCGCCAAGTCTACAAAGAGAAACCCTGCCTCCAAAACAAAACGGTCAGCCAGCCAAACAAACAAACAAACAAACAAACAACAATCATTGGACCCCTAGAAACTTTCCTAAAGACTCCAGTATTCAGCTCAACTTCAGCCTTGAGACCTCCTTTATCCTGTCTTGTGTTCAAAGGTCTTCATCCTGGGAGCGCTTTGTGTGAAAGAGGCATGACAAGTCAACAGGTAAAAGTGTATTTTTTAAAAAACCATTCTTCTAGCCTCCCTCCTCTGTCCTAGTTTCTTCATTAAGTTTCTTGTTAGAGTCCTATTGCTGTGACAGTGATAGCTTATTTTGACTCACAGACTTGAAGACTTCTATCCGTGACTGGTCAGCTTAGTTGGTTTGGGACAATGGTGAAGCATATTTGGACCTAGTCTCTTCTGAGGCACACCTCTTTTGACTCAAAGACTTCCCCTCCATCAGGTCACACCTCATAAAAGTTACGTCACCTCCCAATGTGCCAATGGCTCCTTTGGGGATATGATAGATCCAAATTACAGTACAATGAAGTTAATTGTCAATCTTAGTGCCTGTGCTATCAGTGTTCTGTTGAGGAAATTGTCTTTTGTGCTGATGTGTTCCTACTATTCGCTCCTTACTTCTCCATGAGGAAATGGTTTTATATTGAAGTCTTTGATCCACTTGAACTTGAGTTTTGTACAGGATAATAGATATGGGTCTATTTGTATTCTACATGCAGGCAGCCAGATTGACAAGCACAATTTGCTGAAGATGCTTTCTTTTTTCCAGTGTGTATTTCTGGCTTCTTTATAAAAAAAAAATCAGATGCACACAAATAGGTGGATTTATGTCCAGGTCTTCAACTTCATTCTATTGATCAACATGTCTTTTTATGACAATATCCTATGGCTTTTA